GGCTGGAGCAGGCCAAACTGGTGTTGGGTTCCTTTGGCTACTCCTCCTCTTGCAGAGCAGGTGCCAGCACAGGTGAGGGGCCCTCTGAGTAGATCGTCAGTTCTGACAAAGATTTTTTCAGAAGCAAGTCTTATGGAGCAGATATTTGCTCCTATTCACTCCTGAGATGTTGGGGGTATGGAGAAGAACATTTATTGCTCTTTATTTGGTCCCTCTATTCTCTTCACTTCTGTCTCCGGACTGCTTCAACAGTCTGGCTTGAGCTGTCCCACTGTAGTTCCAGGTCAGAGCTGGAAAAACCCAACACCTTTCCGCCCTTTGATTTTGTTGCTCTGTCCTTGCTTGAGTTCACTCTTGCTCTTCTTCACGGTGCCAGAGCCCAGGGAGTTGAGCTGGCATTCTCTGAGCAACGTCTACAATATCCACAGCCAGGAGAAGGAAGATCAGTTTCATGCCTAGAGGTGCTACCTCATTCCAGGAGAACCTTGTGTCTGTGGCATGATCCGAGACCTCTTGAAGACAACAGGGTACAACCCTTGCCCCCTCCTCTACATCCACAGCTATAAGAAGAGAACCTGGAACCACTTCCACGCTGGAGTCTGTAAGCAGGTTAGTGTCCAATGCACTCACAGGTTGAGTGCATTGTTATTTCCAAGCATGCTGTCCCTTGTATTGAAAACTGGCCCCCCCTCCATTTGGCAAGGATCGAGGCATTGTCGTAGCAGAGCAGGAACTGTTCATGCTGTGCAGTGCCTGCGCAGTGCTTGCTTTCTCCCACAGCCACTGCAACATGCATCTACCCATGTAGAAGGAGCCTCATGTCTTTATTCCTGATAGATGTCAGTTCCTGGAAAACAATCCCTTCCCTCCCTCCTCCTGTAGTCCCAAAGCCAGGCTGGGAGGCTGGGAGCACAAGAGCAGGGAAGGAAATCTGCCAACTTCATGTTTCTCCCTGTCGCTCCCTCTTTAGCTGCCTGTGAGCGAGGTTGCAGTAAAATAATGAAATAAAAGCCAAGGACCAGAGAAAGCTGATTCATCCACAGCCCAGGGCCAGCGGCCGGCTCCAAGCAGAGCTGTAAAATCAATCTGTCACTGCTCACCGCAGTACAGATCAGCACAGAGATTCTGACTGCAACGAGGGCAGAGCCCAGCCTTCTCCCTTGGCCTGTTTTCCCCATCCATGGGACCCAGTTGTGTCCCGCTGGGAGACGGGCAGATGGGCAGGGGAAGAGATAGAGAGGGAGAAGGGCTGATCCTCCGGCTCTGAGAGCTGGAAGCGCTGCCAGCCAGGCTCCCTTCCCTGGCAGCACACACCGCAGGTAGTGCAGGCAGACGCCGTGGCTGCCTTCCCTGCCCGGCTCTCCCCTCCTCCTGGGGATGGACGGCACAAGGTGATGGCTGAGAGGGGGATGGCTGGCTGCACTCCCCGCCCCTACTCCTTACATGGACTGTAGGTACCATCCCCACTGAGCTGATAATCCCCAGGCGGGGCACAGAGGGTTAAAAAATCAGTTTTATCATCACTTTTGTGATTCCCAGATCCTGAGCTGTTCTAGAACTTAACAACTCCCTGGCATATGTCGGAAAAACACTAGGGAATTGCTTTAATAAGGTCAGCTCCCTTGTTCACCCCTAACAGCATCTTCAGTCTTAGATGATGTAGCAGCCCGGCAGAGCAGGAGCTGAGCAGAAAGGTATAAACCAAGTGTTTTTTGGGGCTGTTTTCATCCCCATTAAGGGGGCAGAGAGGTCAGGCCTGACTGTAGGTAGTGGTCTCAGATATCAGCACAAAAGAATTAGAGGGTGATTCTTCTTCTGTACTGCTGGACACAGGGAATGAGGCACCTCTGCAGCTGACTTAAAGTATCTGTGACGTCCTTAGGAGTTTTTTTTTCCTCTCTCAGTGATTTTTTTTTTTTTTTGTGAAGTAAAAAACAACAGAGTCTTTCCAGGGCTTTTGGCAAGGTCAGAGCCTCTGCAAAATAAACGTGGGGGTGAGCTTCTGTACCCTCTAGATCATCTGCAATGGGACAAATAGGCATGGAGGGACTGGCCTTGAATCAGATTGAGGACCCAAATATCCCACACTGCTGCAAATCTGGTACTTGCTTCTGCTTGTCTCTTGGGGCACTTCTGTTCTGCTGGAGTTAAATGTTGTTCCTGGGTCAGTGGGAGAATGAGCAAATACCATTGACCCCCAGAAGCCCTGGTAGTACAAGGATCCTGCCCCAGCACTTCTGAGTCCTGAAAGGATGTGTGCCAGCAGGAGAGCCTCTGGGAGACTCATCACAAACAGACTGCAAGATGATCCTGGAGGAACTCAAGCAGGAACAAATCCTGAATTAATTTGGAGTTGGAAACCTTTTCTCCTACTTCAACACCCTCCAAAATTAGATACTGTCTGTCCTTGGAGGAAGTAGAGAGAGATGGAAGCAAGTCTCTGTTCCTTTCGCTTTTAGCTTCAAAAAAGCTTGGAGGAAACACCCCACAGTCTTAACACCCCAAAGTGATAAAGGCAAGGAAATTTGAGTCTGTAGTTGCCAAGACAAGCTTCCTTCTCTGATTCCAGGAGGTGTGAGTAGTTTTGGCATTTAATCCTCTGGGAACAGATGTCTAGAGATGGTCCAGGGAACATCCAGAAGTGTCCTCAGGGCTACACGCCTGTATGCCTGAGGAGTGTGTGGGTCTTTGTGTGTACCTTTGTATCTGGGTGATTTTTCCCACTTGGGTTTGCAGGTCTGGAGTACAGGAGGGCACAACAAGTTTCCTATGTGTCATTTTCAAAAGGATTGATGATATGTGTGTTTGTGGGCCAACTTGTTTCTTCATGCCATGCAGCTGATGTGTGTGATCCTGGGCCTCCTTCTGTAGATGGATCCTTTGAACTTGCCTGTGTTTTGAGGGAGGCAACTCATTCCCTTGGGGCTATTTATTGTTTGCCTCCCCATGTAGAAGCTTATAGGTTTGGTGTTTTATCCATGAGGCTCCTGTATGCCTGTGAGAAGATTAGGGGCAGTCCTCTGCTTGCTGGGTTTGGATTTACATGAGATGATTATGCATGACCCCTCATGCAGAGGGGTCAAAAGACTTCACCTTTCCTCTATAAAGCTGCAGGCATGAGACAGATGGGGAAATTACATTGCTCTGTGCTCATATGTTAACTAGAAGGATGGGGATGTGGGCCACAGGCAAGCTTCTTTAGATGCAATGGGCATCACAATATAGAATAGAATAGAATAGAATAGAATAGAATAGAATAGAACAGAACAGAACAGAACAGAACAGAATAGAATAGAATAGAATAGAATAGAATAGAATAGAATAGAATAGAATAGAATAGAATATCCTGAATTAGAAGGGATCCTCAAGAAACATTGAGTCCAACTCCTGGTTTTGTAGAAGACAACCCAAAAATCATACCATGTGCCTCACAGTATTGCTCAAATGCCTCTGGAACTCTGTCAGGCTGGTGCTGTGACCACTTCCCTGGGGACTCTGTTCAAGTGTCAACCACCCTCTGGGTGAAAAATCTTTTCCTAATAGCCAACCTAAACCTCCCCTGCTGCAGTTTCATGCCATTAATATAATACCTCTAATAGCAGTGCTCCTTGCAGTGGTGTGTGTGTGTGCGTGTGTGTCAGCCTAATTCCACTTCTGTTTCTGCACTGCATGAAAAAAAATCTTTAATTTCCCATCAGAGGTAATATATATTTGTATATTCTGTACCTGAGTGCATGTGAGTGCTGAGGGTAGCAGACTTAGGTGTCTGTTTACCTAGAAGATGTTGCAAGCATGTTGGTATTTATGCTGAGGGTAAGGTCTTCACCCAGCTGTTGCATGTGTGTTATGTTTCTGTGAAGCAGGGCAGCAGGAGGTGTGTCTGTTCAGGTGGGAATGGAGGTTTCAGAGCACTTCCATTTGTTCTTGCAACCTCTGTGCATGCCCAGGTGAAGAATGTGGCCAACTGGCCAAGGAATATGCGGGTTTGAATTGGGCTTGGGTAAATGCAGGGCTTTTAACTGCAACATGGTTTCTGAGCAGGAAGCAAATAGTCTCACAGTACTCAGATGGACCTTGAGACATTTCTGAGCAAGACTGTATGATGTGGTTGCCTGGAATAGCAGGAGGCTGGATTGCACATCCCAGGAAGCCAGCTCCCATCCAATGTCCCCAAGTTTTTTCAGCTGTTGCAAGTGTGTGTCTCTGAGTGAGACAGGCAGTCCCTCCAATGCTGTGGTGAGTGTGAGAGGTGCATCGTGTTCCTTCAGCTGTGTCTTGCCTGTCTGTGCAGAGATTATTTATGTCTGTCATGTGTGCTTCTGCTTTCTGTCAAGGAACTGGGGAGTAATTTCTTAAGATCGACACTGTGTTTGGTAATGTGCTTTCCTAGCAGGTATTGCCTGTGTGAAGTATTTGGGGGCCAAGCTGTGCCTGGGTCCCCAACACCTGGTGCACATGGGTGCTTGTTTCTGACTGTGAGCAAGATCTCCATTGGCAATGGCACCTGTGGGTTTGGGAGAGGGAGGTGGAAGGTCTTCCAGACATACAGGAGGGTATGTGGCTCCAGGTGTTTTCTGAGGAGCTGTTGTGTTACTGTGGTGGTGATTTGAGGAGGTGTATGATAGACAATCTCCCCAGAGCAGTCACATGCGTGTGTTTGTGTGTGGATGAAAGGTTGTCTCCACCTCCTGTTACATTTCTATGTGTAAATTTTTTAAACAAATAACACAGGGGCTTGTATCTAGGTATAGTTTCCCATGGCTGTTGCATGTACCTGTGTCAGTAGGTGTATAGCTGTTGCATACATCTGTGCTGTGTGTGTGTAGCTCCTCAGCAGCTGTTGCTTGTAGCTGTGTGGTTCCTAGAAGCTGTTGTATTTTCATGTGGGTGACTTCATCCTGAGAAGCTGTAGCCTCTGTGTGTGTGTGATTCCCTAGCAGCTGTTGTTTGTGTGTATTCCTGGGAAGCTGTTGTGTGTTGTGTGTAGCTCCTGAGCAGCTGTTGTGGGAAATTGTGTCTGTGTGTGTGTGCAGTTCCAGCAGCTGTTGCATGCGTGTGCTCATGTCTCCGGTGGAGGCCCACCCCTTTCCGCCTGCACCGGAGCAGTGGCTGTGCAGGCGAGGAGAGCTCGGAACTGGCTCCATGGGAGAGGGTCCTTTGCCTGTCAGAGCCTTCCCAGCTGGGAGAAGCAGTGCCGCCGGCTCTGGTCTCAGAGCCCTATCAGCCGAGCCTGTGGCGAATTAATCACTCGCGTTTTAAATGCCAATACAGCCCTTTCTGCCTTCTTCCCCCAGTGATGCGGATGCGGCGAAGGCAGCAAATCCTCCGGCTGTGCGTGCCCTCCCTGGACTGCTGCTCCATCCCCGCCTGCCGTGCCCGCGCCTGTGCATGGCTGGGAGCGCTGCCTAGGTGCGGCCGGGAATGAGCCAGCTGCGGGGCGAGGACCGCCACAGCTCCGAGGGGTGACACGAGTGGGGGACACCCCCCACACAAACACATCTGCAGGGCTGCAAGTTGCTTGAGGACCGGGGTCTTTTGTGCCTCCACTTCGTCTCTGTCATGCCCCGTATGGAAGCTGGGAGCAGTCACCCCTCCAGAAGCAGGTACGTGTGTGTGTGTGTGTGTATGTGTGTGTGTCTGTGTGTGTACGTGTGTGTGACACGTTTTTGTGTGCAGTCCTTGTGCTGCTGCCTCGTGTGTCCTCAGCTCCCGGCTGCCGTCCGTGTTGCCTCTCGGAGAAGCAGCTGAGATTGGAAAAAGGGGAGAAGGGCAGGATGCATGGATTGCCCTTTTCCTCCAGCTTGTGCATGCACTCCCTGGGGGTTGGATGCCTCTGATCCGAGGATGAAGGCGAGGGGTGAGTGCAAAGGAGATGGGGAAGTGGCCCAGGGTGTGTGTGCCTGTGAGGGGGGAGATTGTGCCTACATGGGGTGATGGGAGGGAGGGAGAGAGGCTTGGAGACGGGTCTCCCTTTCACCGTGTGTGTGTGTGCATGTGTGTGTGATCTGCTTAGGATTGGGATGCTGAACACAGCTGGGTTTGACCCATCTGCATCTATTTGGACCTTGCAAAAGGAGGTGATATATGTTTGTATATGTACATGTATCTATATTGGTGAATTTATATCTGTGTGTGTTCATGTGTGTATCCATGTATAGGTGTAGCTATAGGTGTATGTACGTACCCCCACGCATACATGCATGTGCATGTACGGACAGACAGGCAGAGCTCTCTGTGTTTTGCCTGCAGTTATGGGACAGAGAAGGAGTCAGCCTCATCCCTCAGCCCCCTGTTCCCTGTCTCTCTGCAAACTTTGTCGGGAAGCCTCTGCGGACAGTGGTTTGTCCATGTCTGTGTGTCTGTCTGTTGTGTGGTGTGTGGATATTCTGCCTGGTTTGCATGCAAAGGGAGTGAGTAAATCTCTCCTCTGCTCTTACACTGCTTTCCTGGGAGACTGGCTGGCTGCAGAAAAGTCATTGCGTGGTGTCTGTCGGGTGTGTGAATGTGTCTGTGGTGGTGGTGGGAGCTGGGTATTTATGTAGGGGCCCAGGACAGCTACTCGAATGCATATGTAAGTGTATATGTATTGCCTGCAGGGTGTCTGCATGCCCGTTTATTCCACCAGAGAAAGCATGCCCACATTTTTATGCATAAGGATCTTTCCTGCTTTGGGGCATGGGATGGGGGGGAGGAGAAGCTGAATGAATGAATGGGAGCAAAAGGAGGGGGAAGGAGGAGTGGTGGGGGGTGGGGGAGAGAGATGAACAGGCGCATCCTATTCTCATCCCAGGACAGGCAGGAGTGCACAGCTGCTACTCTTCCCATTCCAGAGCTTGGATCTGGCTGAGGAAAAGCAGCATAAATCAGCTAATACTGCAGGAGGCAGCATATTCGGGAGCTGCTGTGCGTAATGCCCTCTCGCGAGTGTGTGCTGGTGTGCCCCAGCCCTGCACGCGTGCATGCAGCACACGCGTGCGTGTCCCGCATCTGAGTGTGCACAGAGCCGGGCTGGCTGTGCACAAACACCAAACATCCTCTCCAGCGCCCAGGGAAGGGGGTTTCTGTGATGGGGAGGGAGAGCATCGCTCCTGTGCTGCGGGCAAATACATCTGGCACAGCCCGCGGTCCTCTGGCACCCACCCTGGGCTCACACGGGCACGGTGGGTGCAAACAAAAGGGGGTGCACAAGGTGCAGGCCGGATTTAGGAACTGCCCCCTTCCTCCCCCCTAAAGGCTGCAGAGCAGGACCCTTCTCCCGACTCTGGGGGCACAGAGCTATAAACCAAGCTGTGGAACAGGGAGAGGATTGCTGAGATTGCAGTGGGGGTTAAAGATGATATAGGGAGTGGAGGGGAGCCCCATGCCACTGGAGGGGGCCTGGGGACTGGGGAGCCTGGCTGCATTGCACGTTGTGAGCCAAGGAATTTGTCATGCACGGAGAGGTGGGAGGGAGTGGGAGTGTGTGTAATGTGGGGGAGCTGGGATGGAGGGGGAGGAAGGAGGCTGTGCTGGGGTATGAGGGAATTTCTAGTGAGCCCTACATCCCCACACCCCCCTTCCGAGTCCCCACACATCCCGTCACTCCTGGGTCCCAAGAAGCGCAGCCTGACAGCATCGCTAATGTAATATTCAAAGGAAGCTTCATTTGCATGGAACATGCATTATTAATATATTTAAATACAGCCCCCCTCTCGCCTCCCTGCTCTGTGCAGACCATACCAGCAGCAGTGAGGAAACTGCAGGGAGTGGAGGGGTGCCGATGCAGTGCCAGGGGTGAGAAGCAGACACTTTAATCCCACTGATTTCCCCAACCTACCAACCTTCCCCCCACCCCCAACCCCTTCCCTATCTGCCACCCTCCGCACTCCATTATTTTCCTTGGGGGGAGATTGGCTTTCAGGGCACCTGGCCCACAAGCATGCAGATTTGTCGGCATGAAGCAAACTGCCTTCATTGCTTTTCCCCCCATCAAAAACTACAACACCAAGGGAAGAACTGTGGATGCATGGCCTTTCCCACTCTTCCCCCAGCTCCAGGCTGGGTGTTTGGGAATGTGCTGTCTGATCTGCTGCACTGGTGCAAAGCTATGCTGTGGAGCAGAAGCCACTCGGAGGGTAGAGAGGGCATTTGGGGAAGGGGGCATACAGAGGTGTAGGTTTTGCTGGGAGGCAGCTTGTGGTTAAAATGGGAGAGGTAACAATTGCAAGGAAGGCAGAAGGGAGGGAAGCGTAGCTGCAATGATGTCCGTGATGTTTGTTCTTACCTGGGTCGTGTCAGAAGCCAGATGCAGCTCCAGGCCAAGTGCAGCTGCCTCATCTGACCCTGTTGAAGAGTGGTGAAAAGCTCTGCCCACCTGGGAAAAAAACTACTGGTCATATCAGGGCCTGTTGAAACCACACAGTGCTCTTATCAGCTATGCCAAAAAATATCAGCACATTTGTTGAGGGAGAGAGACCTGGCTGCTCTCTCCTTCATCCTAAATACTGTGGGTTTTTTCCCCATGGTCGCCTGTAAGTATGGACCTGGGCTAAGTTGTTTCTTTTATCAGTGTGAGGGAGGGCAGAGAACATGTAGGGAATACCTCTGTCCTCACACTCTTGTGAGCTCATGAGGGCTGCCTTGCTCTGATAAAGGGGTGTGATGTCCCGAAAAACACTTGCAGCCCTTGCCCATGCCTGCATACCAGAGCAGACAGGAGCAGCTCAGATGTGGAGCAAATGTGTTCCAGCAAAACATCTCCTTTCCTGGAAATAGAGGCAGTTTTGCTTTTCTCCTTCATGGAGGAGCAGAGCTGTCCTGAGCAGTGAGGGACCCCAGGCTACTGGCAGCTATGGGGAAAGCTGGAGTTTGCCTGGTAGCTCTGCAGGTTCTGCTGGTGAGGATTGCCCAGACTGGAGTTACAGCAGGTGCTTGAGCAGTTCTGAAGAAGCAGAGCTCTCTGTCCCCCAGTGCCTTTCCATGTGGGAAGCGGGTGAGGGAGAACATGGAGTGAGCTATTGAAGGAGAGGAAAGCTGCATGCACGGGAGCCATCTCTTTTGCCAGGGTAGTGGGGCACTGAAATCCCTTCTGTGTTCTGGAAGGGGAGAATGCAGAACTCAGCGAGCAGACCACGGGGCTCTGACCCACCTCCAACCCTTTCTCTCTGCTGGGTCAGGATGAGTTTCTCACAGCTGTGAACCAGATGAGTGCTGTATTTAAACCCTCAGATGAGTCAAGCTTGACACTTTGGAGGTGACAATGACTGTGGGACTGCTGTTGTGTTTGCTTCAGTGGTGAGCTGGTTTGGCAGCAGACACAGCCCCACTTTAGCAGCATTGTATTTGCCCTGACTTTCCTGTGCTCCCCAGCTAGTGCTGGTTTTGTGCCTTGTTTTGCCCTGACCTCCTCTTTAAGGGTCTCCTGGGTAGCTCAGGGGTACATAGCCATTGCCTGAGATGAACTGCTTTCCTCACCAAATAATTTTCTGTCACTGAGGAGAAATGACCTCATTTTCTCAACATTCATAAGCCAAGAGGAAACCCAGTTCCAGCTGACCAGCTGAGGTACAGAAGGAAGGAAGGGCAGTTGTCACTCTTTCCACGGCATTTTAAGAGGTGGCAAACAAGCTACCAGGAGTCACGTTGAGGTGAATGACTTGATGGGTTTTGTCCCTAGATGTTGCCACTTGCAGGGAATCTTCAAAGGTCTCCAGGCATCAGTGGTGTGGGGAGTCTCAGCAGCTACATGGTGCCCTATAGCATAGCATCAGATGCCATGGAGATAGGCATGGGATCAAAACCCCACAGGTGAGTCTGTTCTGCTGTTGAAGGTGAAGCCCATTCTGTGCTGACCTGACTGATGTGCTGGGGCTGTTCTTTTTCGTCTGCAGTCACCCTGGGGAGTGCATCTCCAGCTTTTCAGCCCTTTAGCACAGAATTTCATTCCAGGTGATGCTCTGGGGAGCTGATGGTGCAGCATGAATTTCATAGAAGTGAGAAGCTGTGTCTAGAGGCCAAGAATTCGTGTTCTCTATACATTGACACTCACAAAATGTTAATACCTGTCTGGTTTTGGTAAGCTGTAGGGGAAAGACTGTTTACAAGAAACTGTGGGTGCTTTTGACTCCTTTGGATGTCTGATAGAAGGGAGATGGAGCAAATACATCCTTGTGAGGAAGGATCACCAGTAACATGACTCAGGGAGGGGGGTCACAGAGTAGGAGGTGGGATCTCTCGTTCTGCCACAACTACCCTGTAGAGAGTCCCTTTCTTCCCCTCTGTGGTCCTCAGCTTTCACCTCACTTCTGAATAGCTTTGGTGATAATGTAATCACTATGGAAGGGTCTGTAGATATGAAGACTCTGGCTCAGTATGATGCATGTGCTACCAGTTGCCTTAAGGCAACGTGTCATATGTTTGTCTTCATTCTTTCCATGGCTCATAGGCTCAATCTGCAGACCAGATGGGTCAGAGCTGCCTGTGTATTTTTTGGCTACTATAAGGACTCCATGAGCTGCTATCTTTCCTTTGGGAGCATTGGTTTATGCATGAGAACATGTATGTTTGTGAGCAGGAAGAGCACCATTTTCTGCCAGTCTTTGTCCTGTCCTCTTGTGTGCACAGG